ATCAAAGGGCTAATGGATAGACATTTTGTTAACATATGTAGAACTGATGCCAGGCCATAAAACAACACTGTACTGAGTATTACACATCTTCAGAGAAGCCCTTTTTTTCCCTGATACTTTTTTTTTTTTTTTTTTGCTGGAGGAGGAGGAGGGGGTCTACAAATTATTTCTTTCCTTATGTGCATGAATGCCTAACAGACTCAGAAGCCTGGACATTTTTATGTTCTCTTGTTCCCTGGAGTTTTGCCCAATATCACAAATTCCAAGAAGGGGCTGATTTTTGAAATAGGGAAAGGAAAAAGAATGTAAAAGCAAATGAACTTCCTTTTCCCTTGTAGAACAGATTCTGTTACATCAATCACAGATTGGTAAAGAACTTCATAATCTATTACCTTAGCATCTCTGTTTCGCAGGTCGCTCCTAGGACTGCTACTTTCAAAATGCCATCCAAACTTGGCTCAGAGCTACAGCACATTCTTTAATGGCCTTTTAAGCCTGTGGTGTTCCAAACAGTCACTTTTCAAATGGTACTTTTCGTAGATATGGCACTCCATAAAAACAGGAGGCAAAAAAGCAGTGTAGAGTGAATTCCTGGAACAGCTACTCGGGATTCTACAAAAGCCACTTATAACCTTCTCTCTTTGTGCTCTACGGTATTTATGCCAGATCATAGGATAATGAGCAATCATTAAATGTATGTACTTTGTAAGGCACTTAGGAAACTGTTTTCCCATCACTTATTAAGTGTAAAGTAAGTAAAACAGCACTGTACACCAAGAAATAGGCAGTACAGAAAGATACTGAAAGCCAGGCTTACAGAAGAATTACATCTTTATCCGCTTTGATACCTTTGCAGTTAATCAAATATTTTGCAGTTCCATGTTTGGCACATTAGGTACATTGAAGCCAGACTAGCAAGAAACAGACACTCTATGTATCATTTCTCCAGTGATGGGAATGGTTGCTTCTGCACTTTAAGACCAGTCATGCTACATCTGCATTAAAATGAAAAGACAAACATGTTTTACTGCCAGCTCTGCCTGAATTTCAGATGAAAACCACATTAGTTAACTCGTGAATTTCTCAGTCAGTCAGTCTCCAGTGTCAGTTTACACAGCCTATATAAAACAACTCACCAGTACACAATGCAGTACAAAAGGATGCTAACAGTATTGTCCCAGGTTCAACAACATGCTTCAAGAACCCCTTCCCCAAAACTAAAGTCAGGAGCAGACTGCAATAGCCTGGAACTCAGCAGGTTCTGATGCCATATTTTTTTCATTTAACGAAGTCTTTGGCTCAACTGTCAGGAGTCATATGGGCTGAAATACGTTAAGCCGCACAGCCCACAGGTTTTCCACTCCCCTGCTGTCCTAAGCACCGTGGGAATGTGATTCCAAGCTCAGGAATGTTGCCAGGGCATCAAGTCATAGCATGTTTGGTCCCACTACTTCCTACCGACTTACATGCAGAAAAGCTTGATCTTGAATTCGTTACCTTGTGGGCACAGCCTCACCTCCTTTGGGCACTTAAAGGGATCTGGGCTTCAGCAGGAACTAAGAAAGCACCTGAGGAGCAACAGTGATGATGCTGGATGTCTCTGGGTGCGTGTGCTCAAAACATGCAGTCATGTCAACCGCGACATCAGCAAGGATGCTGTATGGGAGGGCTGCGCCTCCCTAGCTTAGGAGGAGTAACACAAGAGAAAGCAGAACAGGGACACACCAGATTGTACTGACACTGGGATAAGGCACATTTACCTTTGCAGTTCAGATTTTTTCCACCCCAATTAAAAACTTAGCAGTGCAAAGTTGCAACTTCAGGTAGGTTTCGAAGTACACTTATCTTACTTGGAGCAACTGACATCAAAGCATTTGTTTACTGCTACTGCCTGGCCAAACCAAAAGGACAGATCCAAACAGAAGAAATATCACTGGGTTAACTGTTCAAACAACCATTACTGGGTGCATGGAGATGTGCACCCAAGTCATATCACTTGCTTTTGAAGATCCGTGCATGAGCTTCACCTTCACAAAGCAGTAATTATATTTCTTGTATTGCTTTAACTTATTCAGAAATGTAAACGTATTAAAGTTAAGCATGGGAGCCTAACTAAAATTTTGCAAGTTCAACGATTCTATCAATTATCATGACATCAAACACTCCTTGCAAAAAAGGAAACAAAGCACTTGTAGGAAAACAGGCCAGAAGTATTTCAACTACTTTATTTTTTATTTTTTTTCCTCCTCCACTGCTACATGCCTGAGTTCACCAAAAAAAAAAAAAAAAAAGTCACATAGAAAAATGACTTAAAAAGGAGGCTCTGAACTGACATGCTGCAGGAGTGGTCAGCGGTGAAATAATAACCAACACTGCTTGCAACAGATAGAGTTTTTAAACAATTGTGTCTTGGTAATTACTTTTAACAAACATGCTAACGTCTCAGAAGGAATGAATGATTGATAAACCAGGCAGTATATTAAATTCTAGTAAATACATAGACAATCACAGGCATTCCTAACATAGTTACATCTAGAACTGTGTCACTTCTCACCAAACTTCATCTGTATTCCACAGTGACCCTCGTTTTGAATTCTGTTCCAGCTTTTAACTTATAATTAACTGCAATATCTGTGATCAGTAATGTTTCACAGGCTCCAGACTAATTTGAACTGCATGGCTCTAGACCTTTGTCACAGCTATGCCACCCGCTGCTGATTTCTCACCCAGAGTTCAGAGATACAAATTTGCCTTTGTTTCATTTCAAACCTAAAATTGAAATTTTGGCCCACAGGAAACAGCACCTTTCTCTTCCACTGGACTTGTAACGCATTTCTAAACACTTTGGCATAAAAGGCATTGCAAGAATTTGGGTCTGCAATGTATTTTTTTGCCTGAATAGTTAGATTTTTCTGGATAACAAAGTTGAATTAGCATAGCGAAGCATCTATTAAGCTTCCAAGAACTGAGCACTATAAAACCTAAACATTCACTTGTTTTATTTTTCTGTTCCTTGGTTACTTTTTCAAAGTGTGTATGCTACCACTCCCATTAACATCAGCAGGGGGTTTGTAAATAAGCCTTTATCCAACATTTCAAAAACCTGAGCTTTTTGGGGTAAGAAGAGATCACAATCTATTTCCTTACTTAAAGACACAGAGCAGGATAGCAAAGAGCATTTGAAAGCACACTTGAAGGTTATATTTGGACATTTTATAATCCAGGTTGAAATGCCATACTATTGAAATCCACCAAACCTAACTCAGGAAAGGTAGCATATTAGCTAATTAGCACATTACAACATCTTCAGATGGCACGTACCTAAATTACTTTATAGATTTGGGCACTGTCTTTAACTCAGTACACATTCTAGGAACCTAAACTCATAGCCAATGGTAGGAAACAAATCAACCACAATGGACATTGCTTACCTCTTTGTCCAGTGATCAAGCTTCTGAAATTGCATGCTTGTGTTAATACTGAGAATTTTAAGCCATCAAAAGCCAAAGCTATGTGTATAATTAACAAATGCACAGTTAGAAGAGTGGCATGGCCAGGATGGTATTTTACAGGATTATAGTTAGAAAGATTATCATGGAGGAAAGAAACAATCAAAAATGAAATGCTCACTTGTGTCCCAAGCTCACAGTAAAAAACTCCAAAAGGAGAGATCTCCAGAAAGAGATCCTTCCTCAGTGGCAGTCGGCCCTTAAATGGGGTCTAGGAGAGGTGCAGCCAGGCTCCACCCCAGTGGTCACACAGCTGAATTAGTTCACCTGTGCTCCCATGGCTGACGCAGTGCTTGCCTCAGGTGAGCAATCAGCGGTTCAGGCTCAACAGTTCCCATACACTATGGAACTTCTATCTTGGAACAGATACAACACTGTAACAACTATGGCCAGTTTATCCACTGAAGTTGGAAGATTACAGTGTTTAGAAAGCGATCATGGCTCAGCAGATGTACTTCAGCAGCAACTCCTACTGCTGCTACAAGTGAGGTTGCACCAACATTTTCATGAAAAAACATACTGCCAGAAAATTCATTCTGTGTTTTATTCTGACACAGAAGATCTCATACCAGGGATAAGTCCTCCAGCTCTACAAATATACTTTGTATGATTTTTGGCTAAGAAAAAAGAAAGCAACAAGAATGTCTTGAAATTGAAATCAGCAACCAGTGTTCAAACAGATTGCAGATACTTCTTAGTGTAGACAGTTCCTCCTATCTGAGACACACACAATTCCAGCCAAATGTAGAAAGTAAAATAAAATTAAATTAAAATTAAAAAAAAATAAACTGACATCCTATATTCATTTTCAAAGTTAAGGAAATCTCAAGAAAACAATTTTATTTCCAGACAGCGGAACAAGCTTTCTTTAGCTGATGATGAAACCACTTGTAGATTACTAAAAGAAAAATAAGCAAATTTCAAGTACAAATCCTTCTGGTAACCATAACTTTAACTAATTATTTTAAAAAAATAATTGTATTATTGCAGTGCTAGGATTTTTCACCTTTGCTTGCGTAGGTGCTCTGCAATATCTGTGCAGATAGCACTTAATGCAAGCTTTAAGTTTGGAAATGAAGTAAGATGTTAAATTGTGCACAAGTTAGTTGAATTTCATGTTCTTAGAACAGAGTCATGCTTATAGTCTTGTAAAACAGCACATCTGAGTATATTCAAAGCCAGGCTGGATGTGGCTCTGGGCAGCCTGGCCTAGTGGTTGGCAGTCCTGTCAATAGCAGGTGGGGTTGAAACTAGATGATCAGCATGGCCCTTCTCAACCCACACCATTCTATGATTCTGTGATTACAAATGAGCCAAGTGGTTTCAATCCTGCTACCTGGAAAACAACTAAATGCCAAGAAGTCCAAAATGAGGAAGAACAGGTGATCAAGAGATACTTCTTGGAAGGGTATTTTATGAATAGATGTTCTTTGGGGTTTTCTTCACATTTTTAAGGGCAAAGTGAGTTTATAATTGTTTATTCTCACTCACCTGCTCTGGGTACTTGCTTCCAACTATTTCTGCCACCGTGTTAAAAGAAGCAGAGTCTGGGTAGGTCCTGGCTCCCATCTTCAGGTACACAACGATCTTAGTGCCTCGGAAAGACATCCGTGACATCATTTCAGCATCTTCCACAGAGATGCAAGCAGTGGGAATCTGAGGTACACCAGACTGGTAGTTCTGCCAGCCAGTATGTGGACTACAGGAAAGGAAAAATAAAACAGTGTTAACAACTTAGCTTGTAAGTTATTATCACCATTATAGAATTATTAAAAGAACACTTCAACTGCCATCCCCAGCACACTGTCAAAAGGAATACATTAGTTATGTTGGAATAAATCTGTCTAAAAAATACCTCAAGCGGTTTTATACTAATCAGTATATCTGACCGTCATCATTCCTGGGAAGTTATTCTGTGTCAGCACAATTTAGGTGCTTTGACATTACAGTAGTAAATCCTCTGATACCACATTTTGCTGCTTCATCGGGAAGAAAAACAATGAAAAGTCGGTAAGTGCATTTTTTTTCCTGTGACAAATAACCAAAATAATATTCCCTACTTCACCTATTTCAGCATCAGAGCAGCTGTCAAAATGACATCTACTTTGAAGAACACTAATATGAGAGATTTCAGATAGACAATGAAACCATAAAGTACACATTTACTCATTCTCAGTGCACTTGAGACTTCAGCCACCACCTGCTGATGAAGTAAGGTATTTTTTAAAAACAGTAAACTTTAAACAAATGATGCAAAAATGAAGAAAAAATATACACCATTAAATACTTACATTCATCTAAGGAAATGTGGAGATAAAATTAAAAAGAAATCGCACAAAAATCACAAAAAAAGTGTTAATCTTACAGTTACACATTTTCTTTTACTAAGATAGCACTAGGTAGCCATATTTCTTCCAATACAACTCTGTTTTCTCCAAGAAAGCTGCAGATATTTCATGACTATGTACAGCATATATTCCCCTTCCAGAAGCTCCTTCTGTTCTACCTGAGGTGACTTCATGTCTGGCATCACAGACTGCTAAAAGTTAACGGACAAGTTCTTTAACAAGTTCCTTCGACATTTTTTCCAAATTTGGCCATTATTGATCTCGTTTTCTGGTGCCATGGTTGAGATCTTTGGATCAGATCTGCAGAAAAACTAATGCAGAAAAAAAAGAGAAAGTGGGAACTAGATGTATGCCCAAATCTGAAAATACTCCTGATACTAAAACAGTCATTTTCTTTGTTTCCCATTCATTAAGTGGGAACAACATCACTCCTTGCTTCAGAGACTATGATGAGGACAGACTCAACGCACACCTCAGAACCATTCTGATTTCACAGTAATGATAGGAAATTGACTGTTATACAACTGCATGTCCTAAATCCCAAAGTAAGCTTAGAACTGCACACTGAAATAATAGGGCAAAACGCTGCATGAGCTGCTCTTCAGTACTGGCCATCCTCTGCACTGAGATTTTATGCTGAAGTAATATTGATACATCTCTCACCAGATTTTTCTCCCTTCATTTCAGGTTTACTTCATAATTCTTGTGTTTCAGATGCTGCCCAAGAGAAGCATTTCCAATATACATAAAATTCTCAGTCATGTAAAAGCTTCCTCAATACTCATGAATATACTATTTATCTCTATTACTAAATAATGACTTTGTTAGTGAAATGCATGTGAATGAAGTTTCCAGTAGAAATCTCTAGAACTAAACTATTTTCTTACCTACTTGTTGCCCCACAAAGAAGGGCTGAAGTTGAAACTTTGAGGCCAGATTACAGACATTTCTCACACTAGCTATTAAATTATCCATATGTGTTAATCACAGAATGGCTGAGGTTGACAGATACCTCTGAAACCATCTGGTCCACATTCTCTCCAGCAGAGACACCCATAGCTGCTTGCCCACGGCTACATCCTATACATGAAATCTTCACCCATATGCTACTTACAGCAGTAGACACATATTTATACATATTTAAACAATAAATCTGTGTCTTTTAATTTGGAAAATACATTTGAAATATTCCTGAAGATGTGTGGAGAGATCCACTTTCTAGAGATACAGATTAGATAAAACGGGAGAGATTATTCAGTTGTAGTTCGTCAGAGTAAATCCCTCTCATCTCAACAACACTAACATGTATCATACATAGTCCATAACACAACTAGCAGACAAGATATATGAAAGCATTTATCCGAAAATAAATACTAAAAATCATCCACAGAGTTTCCATGGGAGCTGCTTCAGAGCGTGGATTGATCCGTTCATGAGGTGGCAATAGTTTAAGAAGTCATTGCTCCTTGCCAGGAAGGCCGTGCAAGTGGGATGCCCAGTAGCTCCCCTTAAATCCCCAAACTCCAGAGAAATTCCAAGCAGGCATTTCCTAGCTGATGTGAATGCACTCATGTAGGCTTACAAGTTGAGATCTTACGGATTTTTTCTTTCCTTTTTCCCCTGCAACAGTCCCTCACCCCAATTTTTAAACTACTACAAGAATTTGCTGCACATATTCAGTATTCATTTGAGAGTTTGGGGATATAGTCAGAATGCTAACCAGGAGACCTTCCAAAAAAAACAAAACAAACAATACACTGAAAAAAAAAAGCCAACAACCAACAGTATGATCATTTCATGTATTAATGGTCCAAAAAACTTTAAATTTCAACAGCTGTGCAGAAACAGTTAAATGAGCCCATTCACCTGCATCTTCTGGCAAGATTATGGCTAGTACTAACATGCCGTGGAACTGCTGAGCAGTGATAATTCAGGTTTTATCACCACCTTATTGATTCTATTCCTCTTATTACTTCCCAGATGCTCAACAAAAGAAATCCCTAAAATCATATTTGTCTCTCCCATGTAAGCAGCAATCACATTTCTTTCGGATGCTCACTCGCAGCACTCCATGGTAACTGTGAATAAGGCTCCTGACAATGCAGTGAGGTGCATTGCTCTTCTTTATACTTGAGTTACTTCTTTACCAGGATTACTATGCTAAACTCAAATACCCAATCATGACTTTTTGCCATAGGCAGACAGTCAGCCACTGTTGAGCTGATATTGGGATTCCAAGGAAATGAGTGAATGCCCAAGAGACTTGATAGGCAAAAAGGAAGAAGAATTCCAAGAGTTACCACGATGAGGCTCAGTGCCTCAGTGCACCATACTGTGCATTCCTAGAGCTACAAGGCCAACTCACAGACTGATAATAGGAAATATCCCTGGAAGACACTGAGAATATTGGGATATACCTGATTAAAGTTTACATGTATGCAAGACACACAATGTGTTCAGTATATCTACATAAAAAATTGTGTAATAAAGTGTCAAAGAGGATACTTAAGTGCTAAGCTGTGTAAATTAAGCCTCTTTTATACAGAGATAATCAAAAACTCTAGCAGCTGCTGACCATATGGCAAGACCTAAGCAAGAACTAGCTAAACAAATCAGAGAAATAAGGCTGTGTGTAAAAGATGAAGACAGACCGAAGCACTCCTGAGTTTGGATCAGAAGAGAGCAAAGAAAAAGTGGTTCAGGAGAGGGAAGTTTTGTAGCAATGGACAGGGAAGATTTCTTTCACTGTGCCTGAACAAAAATGACTTTGTGGACAAAGAAAAAGAATTTTACTGAATAACCAGACTTGCACCTTTCATTCTTTGCCCCTCAAAAACAAAAGGAAGTATTACAGAGAATCAGCTCAAAAGCCAACCTGATTGGTTTTCCCAACTCTTGCTCTTCATAGAATCATAGAATGACTTGGGTTGGAAAGGAACTTTAAGATCACCTGGCTCCAAGACCACTGCTATAGGCAGGGACAGCTTTGTCTAGACCAGGTTGCTCACAGCCCCATCCAGCCTGGCTTTCAATGCCTCCAGGCAGGGGGCATTCACAGTCTCACTGGGCAGTCTGTTCCAGTGTCTCATCACTTTCATAGTAAAGAATTTCTTCCTAATACCCAGTCTAAATTTACCCTCTTTCAGTTTAAAGCTATTTCCCTTCATCCTGTCACTACATGCCCTCACAAAAGTCCTTCCCAGCTTCTGGAAGGCCACTATAAGGTACCCCCACAGCCTTCTCTTCTCTAGGCTGAACAGCCTAAACTTTCTCAGCCTGTTCTCGTAGGGGAGGTGCTCCAGCCCTGTTTACCTTTGTGGCCCTCCTCTGGATCTACTTCAACAGCTCCACATCCCTCTCATGTTGAGGGCCCAAGAACTGGATGCAGTTTTCCAGGTGAGGTATCGTGAGAGCAGAGCACAGGGGCACAGTCATCTCCCTTGACCTGCTGGTCAGGCTTCCTCTTGGAGGAAATGAACCAGCATTCATTCTTCAGTGCTTTCTGTTCTCACTTGGGGGTGATGTCAGCTTCTGGTGCTTCAGAACAACACAGTCTTGAAAATGATGTCATCCAGCAAAACTTTAAGGGTAATTACACCATGTCATATTTGACATACCTGCATTCCGATACCACAGTTTGGTGTTCAGTAGTGGAGAGGGGTTCGAGTCTATTATTCTCTAACACAAGCGCCTGTTCTTTAGATTTTAGTTCTACAGCATTACCTCATATCCATATTTAAACAATTTTTTAAAACTACTTAAAAACACATTGGGGTCGGTTCATTCTTTACAAATCTGTTAACGTTAAAACCTCATCATCATCTAGTCTTGACATTCCTATTCAACTCTTGACAAGATTCAGATAAATAAGGCTGTTGGGTTTTGCTTCTGATAAGCACTTAGATTTCACATTTTGGAATGTGAATTTAATGGAATTTAACAAGTATCACGGTACAAAAAACAACAGTAGAAGCTCTGACAAATAAAATATTCTCTCTTAAAAGTGCGTGTGAGTATGAAAAAAATGTGGTTTGCATCTTACAGAAAAGTGCAAAGAAACAGTAAAAACAGTCAAGAGGCTGCTAGATAATTAGTCTGTCTTCCAAGAAAAGTAAACAAATTTGGACTCACTAAAAGTTGTTGATGAAGGGATACGCTGCTGGTGTCAGATGTATTCTGACTAGTTTTACTGTGTTAGCTGACCTTGCATAGTTCATTACTTCGTTTCTTTACTACCAGCCCTTATCTCCAAGGTAAGCTAAAATGCCCAAGGACAAATATGAAACAGTGCTCCAAGCTAAACTGAATTCTCTAATAGAAAATGCATCTCAGGTTGAAGCCTCAGGCAAAT